AATAAACAGCTGTTGTGATAGCGAAAATAAGTTCCAATGGAGTTTAAACCACCTGCTGAGTTATCGTTCTCGGGTAGTATTGCAGAAAATTGGAGGAATTGGAGGCAGAAATTGGAATATTATCTTTTAGCAACTGAAAAGGAAAAAAAAGAAGATAAAGTTAAAATAGCAATTTTACTCAACTTGATTGGTGATGAAGGTTTGGCTATATATAATACGTTTGGACTATCTACTGAAACGTCGACGTATGATGCTGTAATTAAAAAATTTGAGAATTACTGTAAAGAAAAAAAGAATGTGTTATTTGAGCGGCATAAATTTTTTAAAACATTGAGAATTGATGGTCAGACTATTGATAATTATGTGACAGGGCTTCGCACTATTGGAGCAAACTGTGAATTTGGTGATCAGTTAGAATCGTTAATTAGAGATCAAATTGTGTTACACTTAACAGATCAAGGGCTACAGGAAAGAATATTGAGAGAAAGTGAGCTAGGTTTACTTAAAGTAGTTGAATTTGTAAAAGCATCCGAAACTACAAAGGAACAAGTGAGATTAATACAAGAGAAATCTGTAGAAGTACATGGATTAAGAAGAGGTAATAATAAATCTAATTTTAACACAGCTAATGATGAGGGCAGGAAACTTAATAATCATTTTAGCCTTAAATATGGGAATCACAGTGGTGTGAATAGCACTAATAATGCAGTAGACTATCAGTGTCGGAAGTGTGGAAATAAACACAGAGCCAATAATTGTCCAGCATATGGAAAGTATTGCAATTTATGCAATAAGCCAAATCATTTTGCACTTGCATGTTTTAAAAACAAGAAAAATATAAGTTTAGTAAAACAAAATAAGTATGAAAGTGAACAGGATTATGCAGATTCCCTTATAGACTCGTGTGAATTAGTTGAGAGCTCAAGAAAAATATGTAAAATTAATCTTTTACAGTGGTCACAAAAATTAATTATTAATAACAAGGAATTGGAGTTCAAGCTTGATACAGGAGCTGAGATTAATGTAATGCCAATAAGCTGTCTGTTCAAATTGGGAGTAAATGCTGACAATATATGTAATAATAGACAAATAATTTTGGAGGTATTTGGAGGTAATCGGTTAAAATCTTCAGGAGTTATTAAATTGAAGTGTAGTGCCAATAATGCTAGGAATTGCCAACTTAGTTTTGTGGTAGTGGATGATGCAAATAATAATAAAATTAAACCCTTACTGGGTTTGGACGGCTGTGTTAAATTAAATTTAATTAAAAGAATAAATGATCTTACAGTAGATAATCAAAAGAAAATGGAAATTTTGAAGAGAAATGAAGACATATTTAATGGAACTGGACTGATTAAAAATTATGAGTGTCACATTAAAGTGGATAAATCTGTAGAACCAGTCATCAGACCTCCTAGAAGAGTACCTTTAGCTATTAGAGACAGGTTAAAAGAAAAATTGAACCTTTTGGAGAGAGGAAAAATTATTGAAAAAGTGGATGGTCCCGTGACATGGCTCAGTAATCTTGTAGTAATTGAAAAATCGGATGGAGGTCTTCGAGTATGTTTGGACCCAACTGATCTAAACAAAGCCATCATTAAAACACCTGCGTTAATACCTACCTTGCAAGAAGTAACTTCTCAGTTAACAGGTAAATTTTGGTTTTCTTTACTTGATCTTAAGGAGGGTTTCTATAATATTAAACTGGACAAAGAATCATCTAACTACTGTGCCTTTTCAACACCTTTTGGGTGCTATAAGTTCCTCAGACTCCCATTTGGCCTATCCAACGCCCCTGAGGAGTTCCAAAGAGTAAACACTTCCATATTTTCAGATATTCCTGGACTTATAATATATTTTGATGACATTTTAATTGCAACTGAGACAGAAAAAGAACATGATGAAGTGCTAAATAAAGTTTTAGAAAGGGCTAGGTCAAGTAATTTAAAATTTAATCCTAGTAAATTTCAATATAAAACTAATAAAGTTACATTTTTGGGATTTGAGTTTGATAAAAATGGGATGAAAATTGACCCTCAGAGAATAAAAGCTATTAAAAGTTTAGAGAACCCTTGTAATAAGAAGGAATTACAAAGAATTTTGGGCATGCTTAATTACATAAGAAATTTTATTCCAAATTTTGCTGACTTAACTTCTAATTTGCGTACCCTTTTGAAATGTAATGTAGAATTTATTTGGACAGAAGCTCATTCAATGCTTCTGAAAAATATAAAAGGGTTAATTACAAAAATTCCAGTATTAACACATTTTGATACATCTAAGGAAATTACTATTGAATGTGATGCATCTAAGGACGCTATTGGTTGCTGTTTAATGCAGGAGGGACAACCTATATCCTATGCGTCAAGGGCGTTGTCACCAACAGAAAAGAATTTTGCACAAATTGAAAAGGAGTTATTAAGTCTTCTTTTTGCAACATCTAAGTTTCATTTATACATCTATGGGCGTAAAACTTTTGTCAGAACAGACCACAAACCTCTTGTGTCTCTAATTAAAAAGAATGTTGGAGAAATACCATCACCAAGATTGCAGCGGATGATTCTTAAATTAATTAAATATGACTTAGAATTGAGATATGTGCCTGGCAAGGAATTATATATTGCTGATTTATTGTCAAGAGGTTGTGAAAATGAAGAGAACATCAGTTCTGAAGAAGATTGGATTAGTGAGATAGTTCATGAAGTAGCATCTAATAATTATCAATTGCAGGTCACACCTAGAAGAAAAAAGATTCTCGAAGAAGAAACTGCCAAGGATAAGACATTACAACGCCTAGTGCAGTACTATATGAAGGGTTGGCCTGCCAATAGTAAAGATGTGCCTGAAGAAATAAAAATATATTACAAATTTAAAGATGAAATTTATGTTAGTGGAAACTTAGTATTTGTTGGCCGAAAGCTGTTGGTGCCTATTTCCTTGAGAAAAGAAATGTTAGAGAAGCTTCATAGTCCGCATTTAGGAGTCAGCAAAACACAAGCAAGGGCAAGACAAATATTTTACTGGCCGCAAATAAACTCAGACATTGAAGAATATGTATTAAAATGTAAAATATGTGAAACTTTTAGGAATAAAAATATAAAGGAACCTTTATTGCCTTACCCAGTTCCATCAAGACCTTATCAACGGGTTGGTATGGATTTCTTCCAACTAGGAAACTATTCTTACCTAATAATTGTGGATTATTTATCAGCTTGGTTTGATGTTGTAAAGATGCCATATAAGACAGCATCAGAAACAATCAAGAGTATTAAACCAATATTTGCCACACATGGTATACCTAATGAAATTGTGGCTGATAATATGCCTTTCTCATCCTTTGAGTTCAAGAAATTTTGTCAAGGATGGGAAATAAAATTAACTAACACCAGCCCACATTATCCACAATCAAATGGAATGGTGGAGAAAGCAGTTGGTATTTGCAAGAACCTGATGAGAAAATGTTACAAATCTGGACAAGATTTCAATTTAGGATTAATGGAGTATAGAAACTGTCCAGTTACAGGATTGTCAGAGAGCCCAGCCCAACTAATGATGAGCAGACAGCTAAGAACAGTCCTCCCAACTATTGATGAAAATCTGATGCCAAATGTTGTTAGGGTGAAGGAGGATAAAGAGCTTAAACAGAAAAAGTCTAAGTTATACTATGATAAAACTTCACAGCAGAGAAGAGGTTTCAATGAGGGTGAAAGTGTGGTCCATAGAAGAGGAAGGAGATGGGAGCCAGCCCAGATTATTAAATCTAACAATACGCCTAGATCCTACATAATAAGAACTGAGGATGGTCAAACATTAGTTAGAAATTCAGTTCATCTACGGAAATCGGGAAATCCTTTTGCTATTAATGGAGATCAAAATAGTTATCCCACTTTAGAAAACAACACTACTGAAAGTAATGAATCGAATACTGAGACTCAACTGGCTCCAGCTCAACTTCCACAAGAGAGTTCTGAGATCACCTCTGAAACTTATAACCCAGCTCTACCTCAAGCTATGTCTAGATACGGAAGAAGAATTATTAAACCTAGGAGATTAGTGGAAGAATGATTTTTAATAGTTAAACTAGTATTTAGGAGTTTTTTTTAATTGTATGTATGTCTATTTAAAGAATTTGTTTAGTTTTTTTTATAATTGTTAATCTTGAACTAAAGTAAAAGGAGGGAGATGTGGTAACACTGTTAGAGGTCTATGATAAAAGATGGAGGTTCTATGGAAGATAAAAAATTATAAAATTGTTTTGTATTGCTCACATCTTAAGAATTATAATAAAAGTGATTTAAGAGACTAGACTTATAATTTATTAACCAATAAATACAACAGACACTTATATTGATTTGTTATTGGTCATGTTAAATTAACAGAAAATAAAAAATTGATCCCAAAAGATGTATCACTGCTTTTTTTGAATATTTTAAGTGAAGTGAAACGAAATAATGCACCCGTAAATCAAATTTTCGTAATTTTACTTATTATTGAAATATCAGCAATCAGATGATGGGTTTGTACTTTTGTAGTGTATTTCACAGATGGCGCTTATGCTTTTTAAGAATTATCACGGTAAAAATGGTTAAAATCAGGTTAATTCGAATTCAGGATGAATTTTACTATACGTTAATTTGCACATATTTATAAAATAAAATTTTTTAACTATTTGCAGATCAAAGACCTCTATTATCTATTTAAGCAAACAAAAATAGCCCGAATTGGCGCTGTCCAATTTCATTGTATGGGATGAAGCATCTGTACTAGTATAATATTATGTGATCTGTGTAGCCTACTAAATTTCATCCAAATCTGTACAGCATTTTAGCGTGAACACACATTTACAAACTTTCACATTTACAACACTAACCCACAAATATCACATGAATTGTCGAAGCTGTAGCCTATTATGCTATAATAAAAAAAACAAAAAAAACTAAACATACTGCTAAAATCAGAAATAAAACAAACAATTCTTATTTAAAGTTTATTAAACACTAGTGCGCGTGAGTGGTGGCGTGGTGCGCTTGCGCAGCCGCCTTCCTCATCTGTACCAGAACATTGCTCATCTCTTCACGCTTCCTCTTGGCACGGATGTGTGTGCCCAGACGACGTTTCAAGAATTTCAGTGCACGCTTGTCCTTTGATACCTGAAAAGTTAAATAAACATATAATTTCAATTAAACTGTACTTTGCTAAACTACACTGGGTCGGCATGGTGGACTATGGGTTGAGCTGCCTTGCACTGAATTGCAGGCACTCAGCATTTACAGCCGTTTGAGTATAGTATTTCTAATAACCTCTAAATAAGATAAGTAAATCACATAATAATTTATAGATTGATATAAAATCAATCATCACCCAGACTAAACTATTGGACCCGATGTGGTTTAGAGCCTATTCTAAAAATGCCACACAGAACCAGTAAAAAGGTTTTCAATTTTTCTAGTTTGATCCCTATAGCAATGAAAACACTAAAATTTGTTTAAAATATGTATATTTTTGCTTTACTTAATACTTGATAAAGTATTGGAAAAGAAACAATTTCTTTCAAGTTAAAATGTGATTATTAATAGAAAATGTAAGATGGGCTAAGCTTAGAAGAGATAGTTTAAAAACTTGAAAGAAAATTACCCTTCTAAATCATTAAAAAAACAAATATGAATATACATAGTATACATATTAAAACACAAGTTTGGTATAAAGTACCTTGAAGAAAAATTATTTAAAACATTAGCAATTATATTTCCTCAATACAAAATCCTAATACAATAAAGTTTTGTTGGTTTCATTCATACACCTGGGAAGGTTTTCTCACACAGAAACCTTAATAGATATATATTAAGTGTTCATGTTTTTTAGAAGCTGAACCTGACAAGGCTTCACATGTTCACAAATTCATTAGTATTGGGCAAATTGTAGAATGATGCTAGTATGTATTAAAAAAAATATCAGAAGATTTTAAATTATGCCCATCTAGAAAACGCAATTTCTTCTTTTCTACAAGAAAATGTATAAAACTTCCTTAGTTTCATTTTTAGAATTAATGTAAAATAACTTTAGTCTTCTGTTTAATATTAGAATACAGGATCAATATTTTAGCCACAATTTATAATTATTATACTGTTAATTAATCATCATTTAACTTTTCAAATACTATATAAATGGTAAATATTATACTTATTTAGTAGTAAGTAACAGAACTTACAAATTTAAACAAAAGTTAAAGCACAGTATCAACAAATTTGATACCCACATAGTTCTGTTACTTTGAAAATAAATATATTTTAATATAAAAATTTCACAAACCTTAAGCAATTCCATAGCCCTCTTTTCATAAGGGGCATGTCCAACAACTTCACGGACTAAGTCTCGGACAAACTTTGAGTGCTTTGTTTGCAACTGTAAAAAAAAACATCAAAATGTTATTGTTTTCACAGCTAAATATTCTATAATTATTTTTTTTAAAGGGTGTATAATGAAAGGTGACATAACTCAATAACAATTATTATGTGTAAAAATTCATCAAAAGATCTAACGTTTTCAAAAAAATAATAATATTATCATGAACCTAAGGACGTATTTTTTCTGCAATCAGTCGATATTTCTAATCGTAATGTCCGTTTATTGTTAATTTTCACTGACGCCGAATGCTGCTTGTACTTTGTAGGCCTATCATTATTGTAGGTTATGTTTATTTTACGTACCTACTACAATTAGTCTAATTTAAGTCTAGGATAAAAAGGTTTATTTTAAATGTGCTGTATTGTTTATAAAGTTGATAAATAATAAATAGAACTACTTAAGTTTATTATATCAACACTAGTTTATTACGAAGGAAGAAATTAAAATTGAAAGATAATACAAGTGTCATACTTACACCCTTTAGCCTAGCTGGTCTGATTCTGATTGCTTTGTCTGTAATACCCTTTCTTCCAGCGGATATTTTAGTGGTCTTGTGGCCTTTTCGCAGACCAACTGCGATCTCAAACCGGGGTGCCATGCTGAAATAAACAAAGAGGTGAACTGCTAGCAAGTAAATATGTCCATACACGTGTCACTTATTATATCTCAGCACAAAATTCCACACAATTTAGAAATTTCAAGTAATGATTAAATTGATAAAAACAAGTAAAATATAATTTCACGTACGTTCCGGATTGTCAATTCTATCCAAAAAGAACTATAGATTTGACAGATAAACAGATTTTAAAATGACATTATTTTTTTATTAACCATCGACAATTTTTTCTAATTCATTTTCAACGACACGTTATGCCGACAAACTTATTTTTTTAGTATTTTATATTTATATAATATAATAAACATTTTGTGTTTTTGTTATTATAAAATTAATTTATTTATAAAATGTATATCGTAACTTATTGTTTATATTATTCTAAATGAAGTTTTAATAATTTTTTACTGTACACCTCCAAAAAAACGATAACCTAATTCTTTTTTATAAATTGATGACCAGTATAAAAAAAATCTATATTAGCTTGCACAATTACTATATTGGTTTAATTAGCTTGTTACTGGAATATTATGTGCGTTAATTATATTAAGTTGAATGCACCAGAAATCAAGTCCGAATTATTATGACTTTGGTCTTTGACGTTACCATGTTAAATCGATGTTGACACTTGATATAGTTTTAGGGTTATATTTTGCGCTAGTATTTATAGAAATAATTCATCAAAAATGGAAGTTGGAGCAGTAAAACAAGCATTTAATAATGAAGTGAGTATTAATTTATCCAGAGAAAATGATTTTTGTTTATTGGCTGAAATATGTGTTATAATATATCGACTATTTGTTCTACACATTCATACGACATATTTAAATTTTAAATATTTTGCAGATAATATTACTTAAAAAGAATTTAAATCAAGCGAAAATACAGACTATCCATAAGCTGACAAGAAAAGCTAAAACTTTAACAGAAAAGAAAGCTCCAGACACCCTTATGGAGAAGCTGAAAAGAAAAGCAGAATCGGCTGTAAAAGAAGTTCTAATTATTAAGGTACGACATATATCTCATTTACTTATCATCTACTTGGTAATTTGTAATTTTATTTTATATTTATATACTTAAATAACAACAACTTATAGTAATATTTCAATTTTTGCACCTACTTTTACCAAGATTTATATGCATACATATAAATAATATATACACCATTGGAAGAAAGAGTGCTATTTAATGTACTTTGTTTTTCAGATGACCAAATTTAATATTCTTATTATAAAATTCTCTAATTTGCACTGTAACTCTAATATAAACATAACACTACTTTTCTTTAATTTACAGAAAATTAAGCCTCGAGACATAGCAAGATTTATAGTGACACACACTGGAAAATTAAATGACTACTTAAATAAACCAACAGTAGACAATGACAAAGCTTGTGCTAGATTACTTCTTCATAAAGCAATGCAAGAAAAGTACAAACTTATTAGAGGTAAATTTTCAAATATATCTATCAAAGATTTGTTTATGTCAAGACAAGAAAGACTTAAGCTGAAAAAAGAGGCAAAAGAAAAGCAGAAAAATAAAAAGAAGGGCAAAAAATCGGAAGCTGTTAATGTTGAAGGTGAATGGGATGTTGAAATGACCGATACTAGTAAGGAAAAGGTTGCACCAGATGATACCGTGCTTGAAGAACCTAATGACGTGTCTGATAATGATTTATCTGATGATGGTGGTGATGATAACATTAATAATGATATTATTAGTGATGATGATGTCAATGATGATAATGAAAGTAATGAATCAATTGATGATGAAATGACTGTTGAAAATAGTAAAAATGTTTCTATAGATAATGATAAATGTCAGGGTAGTGAAAGTGATGATGAACCACAGTGTTTAATGAAACCTACCAAAGCAAGTACAGGTACGACAAAACAATCAGTCAAATCTAGTAAAATTAAACTAAATATTCCTAAACAGAAAAACATAAGTGTAAAGGAAGAAAAATCATTAAAAGCTGAACTTAAGAAGACTGAAAAGAAACACAAGGAGAACAAAAATAAGAACTTAAATGAGAAATTACAAAAACGTAAATTTAATAAGGAAAGTGATGATGTTCCAGAAAAAGTTAGCAAAATTGTTGATCCATTTTTCATAACGTCTTCTGGGGAAAACTATATGTCACTTGTGGAACCAAGACAGCCTGATGAAGTAAAGGAAGTACATAAAGAAGGTAACCGAAGGCATAGAAGAGCCGTCATGTTTGGTCATGAACCAAAAATAAAACCCAAAAGACATTTCGAACCTAAAAATAACTTTAATAAGCAGAATAATTATACAAACAATAACAATGACTTCAATGAACAAAATAAATTTACAAATAATAATAAAATTAAATTTAATAGTCAAAATAGTTTCAAAAAGGAGGTTAAAGTGCAGGAGTCTGTGCCAGAAAAATTGCATCCATCGTGGGAGGCAAAGAAAAAACAGTCGGGAATTGTACCTTTTAAGGGTAAAAAAATTGTTTTCGATGAAAGTTGATGGAGATTAAATTATTTTATATTTTAATTTTCTGTTTTATTTTAATTGCAAAGTTTCATTTAGTAATAGTTTTATCATGGCAATTGTAACTGGATGCATTTTGACTAGAATTATGAAAGCAATTATGCATTGAATACATATACATTTTTAATCCATTTTAAAATTAAATATTAAATGATATGAATATTTTTCTTATTGTCAACATGTATAAATTACCTAATTTTATTACATTTTTTTTATATACCTGATAAAAAGTAAAAAGAAGTTACGAGTAGTAAGTGAGGATTTTCTTGTTGTCCATCAGTAAACTTATCACCAAAGTGCCTAGTTTTTTATCTTTCCATTTTTATTAACATTGAAGTCGTTTCGTCTCGTCAGCCACGAAGTGCTTTGGTCAGATTAAAATTCTCAGAACGGAGGCAATCATCCCTATTTAAAAACTCCTATAAATATTTATTGGTTTCTATGTGGCTTTTGTCGCTTTTGCTGGGATTGTATTGGAGTTTTTCAACAGGGATAGCAACAACTTATAGTAATATTTAAATTTTTACTCTACAAAAATACTTTATGCGCTCACTCACGTTATGACGTATGTGGCTTTATAATTTATATGTCCCAACCATAGGATCTCCCGGTCTTAGAGATAAACGTTCAACAGCCGGCATAGGTAGAGGGTCTCTACCTATGCCGGCTGTTGAACGTATATACATCTCTATGTATTTCGTGATGGCGAAATATTTTCGGTAAGTTATTAGATATATATTTTTAATATGTAGGTTATTATGTTCAATATTTTTTTTAAATCTTTATACCTATAATGATACATTACGGAAAATTGTGTAGGTACGGCTGATCAATATATTATGACAATGACATAAAATATGCAGACTGGTTTCCCCACCTTCCCCTTGCTGAGCGAGATGAACATCAGGATTCAAATCCATTTAATATTATTATAAAGTAGGTGTTTAAAACATTTGCATTCGATTATATTTATGACGACACATTTGGCTCAGTTAGTAGTGACCCTACTTGCTGTGCCAGCGGTCGCGGATTGGAGACCCGCTTGGGGCATTCATTTGTGTGGTGAGCACGAATGTTTATACTCCACTCATTGGTGTTTATATTTATGTGCATGTATTTAAAGTTATATATGTGTAGTGTATCAACTATCTGGTATCCATAACACAAACATCGTCGCTTACCATGGAACTAGATGGTGCTGTGTGTATGTTAATGTCCTAACATATTAAAAAAAATATGTTTCATTCCAGTAAATTCCTAGGTTTTTATAAATCTGACCTACTTTTTTAATTAATTTTTAAAAACATTATTTTTTGATCATACTAATATAATCTGACTTTCATAAATAAAAACAATTGGCCAGAAAATATTATTTCCCGTAAAAACTTAGACCCCTTCATTTTTCTACTAAGGGGTTATATTAAGAAAATACTGAAATATAATGTATATTAATACATATTTCAATAGTTTTATCGTAATTAAAAGCATATGTACATTTTGAGGTAGATTTCACAACATTCGTTCTAATTAGACCCACATGAACCCCTTAGACACCCTGGGCGGATCATCTTCTCTAGGCGACTGATCGTACTAATACTAACAATATATGGATCGTGACCGTCATATCTTTGAAATATATTACAGGGTATAGTTATCGCTGTCCCGATTCTACACAATACCATACATAATGCAACATTCCTCACGTGAGCCGCAATATATCGTCAGCCAAAATTGCGAATGCCACCAACACAACCTATGAATAATACTTAGACCTATTTTAGTTAAAGCATTCAGAAAATATGTATGCAATAATAAATGGTCAGAAATGTACGTATACCTTAAAATTAATTGATTGGTGCTATAACTTTTATTAAACTTCACTTGAGAGTAGTTAGTTGAACGTTGAACGAAAAGTTGAAAAAACCTAATTCCATTAACTAGTATATAACTGATTTTTGAGATATTAAATATTTAATAAATTTTAAATACTAGCAGAATCCGTGGCTTCACTCGCGCTAAAACTACAAAAAAAAACTCTAAAATGGTAGGTTTCATACAAACTTTCATCCGCTATTTTACCCCCTTATGGGATGAATTTCGAAAAATGCTAAAACATATATATTTAATTGTATTGAAGAGCATTAATACCAAGTTTCAAGTAATTCTGATCACATAATATATTTTTTTGGTTTGTATTATAACGTGTTTTTCCGTTGGAATGAGATAATCTCCCGCGGTAAAAAGTAGCCTATGGGTTATGTCACTCCCAACACTCCAACTGTCTCCACATAAAAAAATCACGTCAATTCGTCACTCTGTTTCGCCGTGAAAGAAGGACAAACAAACAAGCACACACACATTCACATTTATAATATTAGTATGGATATGGATGTAGTACAATTCACTTTGCTAGTTACGTAGAATGGAGAAGAGATAGAACCAAAGATCCTATGAAGATTGACCTAAATGTGAAGAACTTAGAATGAAAGAGTTGTCAGTGTTTCTTCCGCTAGCGTGCTAGAGGATAAATGTAAAACTAGACATAGTACCTAATATACATATTTGATTACTGTTATATTTTCCCATCGGTGAATCAATAAAACGCCTAGATCTAAAGCAGCATTCCTCACGTCCACGATTTATCGTCACGAGTAGGTAAATTGCAAATGCCACTCGCATACTCGACGTTAGAATTCGTGTTACACCTGCTTTACACTTCCATTCGGAACAAACGGCCGGTAATATCTTAATTGTTGTATGCAATTGTTATGTGAGGTTATAAATTTCTAAGATTAAAACGTAATATAGTCGCTGGAAATTGTACAATTTACACTATAATATATTCGTTGCTGACATTATATATGGTGTTGTGTAAAATAATGCATATTACCATGTCGTCCGACTAAAGTTTAACTACCCTTGAGAGAAGTCAAAATTAGCTTTTATTACTACTATTTAATTTAACAAAGATGGGTACTTTTATATGTGTATCTTTATTTAATTTTCATATCATTAATTTTATGTAAACACTAGCGACTCATGTGTATCGATAATAATGACTATTTCAATAAGATTTTCCAAAAAATCTTATTTAATGTACAGATCGACTCGGTTAGAATTTTAGTGTATGAATAGATAACTATCTATTATCACAATCGTGCACAAGAAATAATCGAATATGAACCATATAATATATCCTAATAAAAAATATGTGACCGGCCATTTTACCTTACCTTACCTTTTCTTTCTGGTTAAAAAATCACGTCGATTTTTAACCTACAGTTGGCAACCACAACGATGTTACTTACTTTATTGTTGGCAACAATAACAATTCATGGTTAAAGGCGCCCTTTATTTCCGGAAGAGTTCCGTTAGTAATTTTTAAGTGCGATTTTTCTCGCAAGAACATTAATTGCTGTGCAAGTAAAATTAAGGTGTTAAGTGAAGTGCAGTAAATTCTTAAATTATTTAATGTATGTAATAAATATATCAACGATTAGGTATGTAAGGTTGCATTTTTATTTATTGAGTGTTTTAATAAAAATAATATATTTTATTAATTTGTAATGATTTATGTATAAGGCATTTAATTATGTGACCTTAACCGATAGGAATGTGTTTTAAAAAAAATAAAAAAGGGCGCATATATTCATTTGTTTTCCCGCGCTTTTGCACAGATGTCGGTACCACCCTATAGTGACTAGGCACGAATTGTTTGTAATGCTGAAAATTATTATTATAAATTATGTAACTCACTGACGTTTATAAAAGTACTGAATATAAGAATATAAACAAGAAATATCTTCAAGTTTTATTAGGGACACAACAGGTATGTGTTAAATATTTTAAATACAGATGGCTCCTTATTAAGCAGAACAGTAGGCAAAAGCTATAGCTAGTACACATTATAAATCGCGGTGTGTTTACGAGGCGTATAATTTGCGCTATCACCGCAATTATAACGTCATGCGTCATGTCGGCGATGCAAAGTGAAATATTGCTTTAAATGTTTAAGTTTGTTAATTTTTTAATCATTTAGTTATATATATATATATATATATATATATATAATTTAAATAGTCAAAGACAAAACAGTACCTTTTTGTCCTCTCTTTGTCAAACGTTTTTTTTATTATATAGATACAAAGATAAAACATTCCAGTGTTTCATTATTATCTATAAATTTTCTTAATTATAGTCGAATTTCGATCACTGGGCGAACCCTAGTACCTATACTTGATTTTAAAGAACTTCGTAAGTACACGTAGTAAGAATTCAATAGGTTGGGGAACAATTGTTAATCTCACTTTATATAAACTTTAAATGTCATTATGCTAGTGAGTTTGTGTATATAACAGTATATACATTATTTTCATTATATGAAAATGAAAATTATTTTTTGGAATATACGCAGTATTATGAAGTTTCATAAACCATAATCAAATTTGCATTTAAAAATAAGAACAATTTACTTACGTTTCCAAGCATTCTCGAAATAATGAATATGTAAGCCAGAGTTTTTATTCAATTAAATGTTCAAATTTTAATGTTGCCTCGTCTTGCTAAAAATGGTGATTTTCTGAATTTTGGTAGATTTGTATGTATGATATGCAACATATTTGAATATCCTTACTAGTTTTTATGATTTTTTATTGACTATTACTGAATAGTTCCTTATACCGTCGAGTTTTAGTTTTTTCTACTAATAAAGCGTTGAACACTTACATACTTCCTCTTTAGTCTCATTGAACAATACTTATTATATGGTCTCGATCTTAGTTCTACAGATTTTTGGAAATAATTTTAGGACGTCATGACGATTCCAAAAGAATCTACTAGAAACAATTGAGTAATAATAGTAGTAGCAGTAGTATTAGTATTCAGCCCTTTTTGACGTCCCACTGCTGGGGGTGGGCCTCCCTTCAGTACGAGGATGATCAGGCCATAGTCCACCACGCTGGCCAAGTGCGGGT